TTACAACTTCCACCTTACAAACTCAAACATTCAAACTTCCACCTTACAGACCCAAACATTCAAACTCCACCTTACAAATCCAAACATTACAACTTTCACCTTACAAACCAAAACATTCAAACTTCAACCTCATAGACCAAACATTACAACTTCCACCTTACAAACTCAAACATTCAAACTTTCACCACACAGACCCAAATATTCAAACTTCACCTTACAAACCCAAACTTCCGCCTTACAGACCCAAACATTCAAACTTCCACCTTACAAACCCAAACATTCAAACTTCCACCTCACTTTCCCAAACATTCAAACTTCCACCTCACAGACCCAAACATTCAAACTTCCACCTTACAAACCCAAAATTGAAACTTCGACCTCACAGACCCAAACATTCAAACTTCAACCTCACAGACCCAAATATTCAAACTTCCACCTTACAAACCCAAACTTCCACCTCACATACCCAAAACAGTCACATTTCCACTTTTCAGACCCACCAATTAAAACTTCCACCTCACAGACCCAAACATTAAAACTTCCACCTTACAAACCCAAGCAGTCAAATTTACACATTACAAACCCCAAAATTCAAACTTCCCCCTCTCAGGCGCAAACATTCAAATTTCCACTTTTCAGACCAAAACATTAAAACTTCCACCTCAAAGGTCCAAACATTCAAACTACCATATATAAGATATGCAATTTATATTTGCCTTAGGAAATATTTCTATCATGTATTACTCAATATACAAGCAAAAACTATACGACACAGTCAAGGGAAAAAGAAAAATGTGTGTGAAAGTACAAAACAGCATTTGACCTTTTGGTCTCAGAACATCATTAGATTTTTTTTACTGGCATTATATAACACACAATTTTGTAAATATAGTTTTAATACTTACTGTAATGAAGTATCATCTATCATTTCTTCAGCATCAGAGAAATTCAAAACATGGTCTCCTCTTGGCATTGGTTGCACTAAATGAAATTAACGTTTTAGAAGCAAATTCACTAGGTGCACATTAACAACATATAGCATATTGCATGCTGGTTAATTACAACATGACTTTTACAAGTCTGATGCAACAACTACTATGCTACCAGTGACAGTTGGACAATTCATTTTTGATTGACCAAATTCATATACAGCAATTTACTATCATAATACATGTATATTCTATGTGATGTGACATGTTTGTTTTACACCACCAAGTTATTGCATGTAAATCAATATGAAATAAGTAGTACCTGATTGGTCAGGAAGCAAATGATACTGTTTCATAAGTAACCAATGATTGAAGAGACATTTATCAGTTCGACAAGGATTGAACACAGTTGGGTTTGTCGTCAATAATTTTTGGAATGTCTGTTGGTTTGGCTGACTTGTCTGGAAAACAAAATGCTAGTATAACAAACTGGTCAAGAATACAATGAGTTTTATTGTTATTTTACATGTTCACATAGATTTAATTTAGTAAATTTTTTTTTAGCGAAAATTGAAACCCAGTGAATAATTAATTCATTTACATTTAGAGTGCATTGCCGTATGATAACTGTCATAAAAGTGATTGACAGGTTATACTTGTTTTCAACTCTGGGAGGACAGTTGGAATCGACCAGGTGTGCTTGTGATTTACATAACAAAGGGTGTTTACAACTTTGGAAGAACAATTGGAATTTACCAGGTGCACTGTTATTTGAATAACAAAAGATGTTTAGGATCTACAGAGTTGTCTACGTGACACAGCTGCTAGCAAGATCACATTCTGATTGGCTCATGTGGAAACCAGGTGGTATCACTGAATCTGGGCCATTCATGCCTATAAATTGGACAGACTGAGGACAGTTGGGGACCATCATTTCTACTGTGTATAGCTACTGCCATATTGTGAATCAGGTGATATAGGCTTCAACCATCATTCTGTGAGACTTGTATGAAATGCTCTGCGATCTCCTGCTTCAGGTGGTGCCCTCCAAAATAACAGCGTTCCTCTGCAAGCAAGACGCTGCGATCGTACGTCGTTTCATGACTACAGACTAGTTTCGTTCATAACAAATATGCCGGATAACGTAATACGCATGTGCAGTGTTGAATTGTGGGAAAAACTGCGCCACCAAGAGCTGACAAGCTGTACAGTCTGTTTTATATTACGGAAAGTTTAGTCGCCGGCCAGATTATTCTTAGTTCGCAAATTGGCGACCTATATATTTTTTGAATCGCCATTCATTTAATTTAATCACCATGGCAACCAAAATGGTCGCAATCTGGAGGGCTGGTGTCTAACTGGTATATACAAAATACAACCAAGAAAACTTAAAAATAGTAAAACAAGCAGCCTGTCGGCTGAGATAGCTCTGCTGTTAGCAATGCACATTTCAATTAAAGAACAGAAGATATCATTAGAAAATGATCGAAATAATCATCAAAATTAGATATCATTACAAAAT